GCCATCCTCTCGGCCAAAGGATGACGAACAATCACCGCGGCTACGGTACGTCTCAGTTCTACAGCCCCGAAGCAAAACAATGTGAAGATTCTCACCACGGCCCCGAGCAGCAAGTTCGGATATAGGGCGTGTAACACGCCTACTCTCAAAAAGGATGAGGAAGGAGGGGACCTGACAGAACAGGTGTTGCGATTAAGAAATTGAGCGCGAAGGTAGGAAGCCCAAAAATAAAGGCGATCTGAAGAGAATTCTTTGAGATACGGCGCCAGGAAGTAGCACATCAGCTGCTTAAGTCCATCTCTTTAGATTTCGTCTAAGGTTACTGTCATTTGTAAATGAACCAGACAGAGACGGCCTTCTAGTCTCAGTCCAGTCTCAGTTTGAGTCCAGTCCAGCTCTATGATTCAGGGGCTTCATTTCTCTCGGTCGAAGGTCGCAAAGGCTTGGCAGCCTCAAGCTGAGTGCCTGGTTAGTTTGAACATATGGTCCCATCGAAGAAGCATCACAGTCATTTCAAGGAGTTTCAAATGTCCAAAAACGGAAACATCCAAGAACGGTCTCGTCTTCCCACGGCTACACTGCTCAAAAGGATCTGGGCCATGGTTTTTGCTTTGATTTCTGGATCGAGCCTGAGGACTTTATATTTGGGTTTGTCGTTCTGGTTTGTTCAGCCCGTGTTGCCGGTTCTATCGCTTCGACTTTTCTCTTTCCCTGGCACCCCTCCTCTGGTAACACGCGTCAGCAAGACCATCAGACTTGCCCTTGGATTTGCCATCACTGTCAGAAGTGTTCGTGACCCGGCCACCCGGAACCATAAAACCACGTGCAATCACTCACATCCTCGTCGTTGACTTGAGTGATCGACTGAAGCTACTGAAGCATGCCATCTGCACTCGTCTTGATTGCTAACGGGACGGAAGAGATGGAGTTGTCAGTTGACCATATCAGATCGACGTTAATCGCTGATTTAAACCCTATCAGCACAATCGTGTATGATACCCTCATACGCGCAGGGGTGAAGTGCACGTCCGCTCTCATCGCCCCGTCTGACCAGCCTGGAAACGACCAACCTCAACCGGCCACCGCTCAGTGTTCTCGTGGGGTCCGTATCGTGCCCGACGTCTTGCAGACTCAGCTTAGCGCGTCCAGTGTGGTATGTCTGTGACCGACGTCTCGATATTGGTATTCAACGTAACGCGACGGTCACTTAAGGGAGAATACGACGCGATTATTGTTCCTGGCGGGGCGAAGGGTGCTGAAACCATGTCACGGTCTCTCCTCGTCCAGTCATTAATCAAAGGTTTCTATGAGCAGGGGAAATATGTAGGGATGATCTGTGCTGGTACGACCTTGACGAGATCATGGATATGGGTGGCCTTCATCAGTGCTTCGAAACAGGTAGCCTTGCCGCGAAAACCTCTCAGTTGCCACGTCAGCCCTTGACATCTCATCCGTCAGTCAAGAAGGAACTTGATGAAGGTATATCTGCCATAATCTGCGTGGGTGCTCGTTGCATGACCCCTGATAGACTTCGACTATCGCGAAGATCCAGTGGTGATCTCCGGGAAGCTAATCACAAGGTACTTAGCACCTCATTTCGCCGATGCCAGATGGTGTCACCGTGCGCTGACAAACCTCTCCACCTAGCCGCGGACCAGGCAGGTCTACCAATTCTTATCGGGGTGTTTCACCCTGAACCATTCTGACTTCACCAGGGACCGCTTTTCCTTTTGCATTCGCACTTGTCGAAGGCCTCTGTGGTGCACAGAAGAGTTTGGAAGTTATGAACCCTATGGTTTTCCCTTCCGGAACCCCGCTGTAGGATGTTAGGTCTTTTCCCCCAGTTCGTCCAAAGTTCTATGTTACAGTGAGAGCCGGTCTGCGGTCTCCTAGGGAGAAACAAAAATTCATTAAAAGAAAAAGGTTTCCTAATGACCACCGCAGGGGTCGAACCTGCAATCTCCTGATTTCGACAAATCGTAGTCAGACGCGATGCCATTTCGCCAGGCGGCCCATTGTAAGATTTGCGTTCTTCACCTACGATACCTGAAGGGCGGCTATCCGAGGAGTGGTTGTGATTTTACATCAGCAGCCACTGGTCCCCGATCGTCGCTGCCGCGGCCATCGCGGCGGTCGACCAGGTACTAGTAGTGGGCCTTCCGGGGTCATGGCAACGACTGGGAGTGTTTTTGTCTTCTAACTTACAAGATCCCGTTCTCGGATGATCTCGTCAATGCCGTCATAATTGGCCAATTTCTTTCGTCCTTCCGGGGCTACAATTGTTGACAAGCGTGGTCCCTCCCGTTCCCAACCGCCTGGCTGTTTCTCTCGCGGCATGAAACATCTAGATTGTTGCCGTATCATACGATGATCGAGCTTTTAAAGCAATCATCTTCGTTTCATTCTCTCATTCTCCATACCTTTCAGTCGCTGAGTTGTATGCAACTAAACCACATCGACGGGACGCAGGATGACCGAGCCTCAAGCAAATGTACGTTTACAAGGTGCTCGCTTCTGGATTATCGGCTCTTCCATTATCATTGAGTTAGGTGGTTATAAGCATCCCCGCCGTGCCTTCGTTCATAGTGGTCGCCCTTGTTGCGCGCCCCCTTTCTACCATCACAACGGATTGGTTTAAGGTCCTCGTCGCGCCGGCGCAGACTCAGTGAGATGAAATACAGTTGGGGCAAAGTTCACCTCTAGTCTACAATTCCATCTTCTCTTCCCATCCTGGGTTCTTTTGCAGTAGAAAGCGAACCCCTCCAACACGCTTGCGAACGGAATGAATTCCTCCGTTGCAAGCTCCGCACGTTCTGTCGTGGCCACACGTACAGGTGTTTGGTACGTTTGGAAACCAGAGATGGTACGCGGCTTCCCCGCTTGACCTACGACATCGACAGCCTAAGAGCCAGTTAGATGTATCCTAACTAGGTCGGTTGAGACTTACTGTGCCAACTCGGACGGTGACGGGCTTGGGTTCGAGATCATCGTCAAGAGTGATCAGGAATCGGGGGTACATAGCTGGAACAAGGAAGTAAAGCATCCAATGGTACTTATCCAATATGACTACGGCAGAAGCACGTTAATTCTCTGTACCTAAACTGGTAAAGTGAGCACTCACAGGCTTTCGCGTCCGTGAACGCCGTGAGTGTTGCAAGTAAACCAGCGATCGCGGTTTTGCTCAGAGTGGTCCGATCAAGGTAGAATGGGTTAATGCCAATTGTGCCTTTGCCCATGTGCACAAGACCCTGGGCGATCCGTACCATGAAAAGGCAATCGGGTTCCTTGTGGTAGTAACCCGCGAGTTGTCGCAACATTTGGGCAAGGCGGGCGTTATTCGTCCCTGCCCCGACGAGACCCATGGCAAATATCGCGTTAAGGGCAACAGCGAGGTCGTTGTCGTGACTATACTTCGAAAGAGTATCGAGGATAGGAAGTTGAGGGTTTGAAGCGGAGACAAGACCGAGTGCTAAGGGCACACTTTTACGAATGACGGGGTCACCATAGTGCATCTACGATGGAGTTCTGTTAGATGGTCTGACTTGAGAAACGGAATAATACACACTAAATGGTTGAACTGCCGAAGAGACATCTCCGCGCCAATATCCTCGCCCATGGCTACGAGTGCAATCCCGAGTACTGCGAATGCTTGGAACGTGTCGTCTTGCTTGGTTTCCGCCTTTTTATCAGCTTCTTGCTCTGAATCCGCAACAGCATCCTTGGTATTGAGGTGTTCGCCACACTGCTGTAGCATTGTCTGCACGCGGAGAACGTTGCCAGTCCCAGCGAAGGCACACATCTCGACAAGGACTTGAATCTGTTTTGACGATTGATGAGGAATCGCTTTCAACGTTTCGATTGTCGCATCGTACGAATCGCTCGCTTGTACACCTATTGGCAAAAGTTTAGCCCGATGGGACAAACATTCGGGGCTTGACTGACCGACATAAAGTAGTGCAAGGCCCAACCCCAAAAAGCGCGTCCATTTCTCATCGAGCGCACGGTCCTCCCTTTCCATCAAAGTCTGGAGGATAACACCGGCAGCTTCACCGTTTTCGCTTCCAACAAAGATAAGACCAATGGCGAGCGCAGCAAGTGCGACGATCTCCATGCTTATCTCATCATCAGATACGAGAGGAAGTAACATGAAAAGGATGTCCTCGCGATGAGAACCGGCGTAGGCGAAACCCAGGCCAATGATAGCGGATGTCCGCAGTGGAACGGACTTATTGATTATGTGATCGCCGAGGAGCGCTAACACAGCGTCGGCTTCGGAACGAACGCCAGTGTTAAGGATACCGGTGGCAAGAAAAGCACCAGCCTGCAAGTTGTGAGTTAGGAAGGGGACCGGGTATTAAACGAGGATACAAGCCTTGATATACTCCTCGGAGGAGTAAGTGTATTTGTCTACATGACTCAGACCAATTTCGGTATCCCACAGTAAGCTGAGACCAAGACTGGCGGCCGCAGATAACATTCCTGTCAGCAAGGTGTTGAGCTACCTATTTCGTATAAACATCGGCAATGAATTCCTTACCATGATCTTTGTTTTTATAGATCCAACTGTTACCCTCTTCCGCCTCAACCATGAGCTTGTCATTTCCGAATCCTGCGTTGACGAATGCGTTGACGAAGGTGCCAGCTAAATTACCCCGTGCCGAGTCAACGCTCGCGGTCGATGATCCTTATAAGGGAAGGTGACTGTAAGCCATGCATAATGGGATAGCATTAGACATACGCGAAGTCTCTAAGTGGGATTTATAAACGTCCTCCAAGCTCTTTGGGTCCGAAACGCCAAGCTCCTTTCCGAACTGTTTAAAATGGGTGCTCAGGCGCGAATTGAATAAAATTTCTTGCAAATCTTCAGGTAACTCCTCCAGCGTCTCGTCCCCATCATCATCGGTGGTTGAGTGTTGAAGCCAATGATATGGAACTTGCGCACGAGCGAGAATAAAGGCAAGTTGACGCTTCATCTGCCTGTATAACCGTCAGGGGTAAGGTGCTAATCTCATCTTATATATACTCACGGATTGCCGGGAGCATGAAAGTCTTTTCGAATGAGTTCTGAGTCATTGAGCCGGATAGCCAACGAAAGCGCCTCAGGGAACCGTTGATGCTTCTCGTAGATCATATGTGCCGTCTTCAAAAATGCTATGTCGTCCTGTGGAGGAAGCAAATTCACACATCTAGCATAGTCAGTCAGAAGTATAGATTCTGGGATACAAGGAGTTACCTACGCAATCATATATGCAGCAACACGACTGAAAGTGTTTGCGTCCACGAGGTCGACAATCCGATCTATGATTTCCATCTCTTCCAGTAGATCAACGGCGTCCGGCTCTGCATTGTGCTTGAGTAAAAACTTCGCGCAGACGAGCGCAAGGTTGTGGAGGTCCTCTAACGTTCCGACAGGAAGAGGTATTTGAGGTGCTACCTTTTTGCCCTTCTCTTCGTCTGTCGCGCTGATCTCGGACCCGACAACATCTGACTGTGTTGTGGGCTTCGTTACCTCTGTCTGTTCACGAAGATTGTACTCTTCGCCGAGTTCAGCAGCCAGATGTCGGACGTACTCGTGCCCCCAGTCCCCAGGGTCTGCGAGCGGAGATGTTGGAGGGCGCATTGAGGCTGCAAGCAGGCGGTAGCGCAGTGTACCACGAGGTTCGGTATCAGAGTATGTCATAGCAAGGACTGAGAGTATGTCTGCAAAGAGACTCTGTTCACCGGCAATTGGGGTCAGTCATTCAACCGCGGGTAACACTGAATGGGGACCTTGTCTTCTGAAGAGGACCAAAGCTCATATAGACGCTGTAGTTCAGGATAATGAGGTCGAAGAAACTTCAAAGGCTTCGGAACAGAGGTCATGGATGAAGTAGATGTCCGTATAAGGGTTCGAAGTGTCTCAAGAGCAGGACGGTATAAGGTGGTATCTGGTTCCTGTCGGACATTCAGTCGAGTGGCCCCAGAACGTGAGAGATGGAGCACACCTTCAGTCGTTCCACCAGCATTTCCAGTTCCCCTCGAAGTTGTAGATCCTCTTCAGACTAATTATTATATTAACATGGCGGTCATGTTGGGCACATCTGCGACGTACCAACTCCTCTCCTTCTTTCTCATCGGGCTTCTTCTTGGAGATAGCACCATTCTTCTCACTATCTTCTTTCTTTTTTGGGTCTTTCGACGGGACAGCGATGGCCGCTTTGGTAGGTTCGGGCATGGTGAATGAACGGATAAGGATAAGTGTACGCGCGTCCGAGTCCGTGTTGAGTCGTGAGCGCGACGCGCAAGTCCCAGTGACATTGTCACGCAAAGTCACAGATCCAGACGAAGTCGATCATTACATAAGCAACATTTGGTCCTCTCATCAGTGGCGTAACAGATCAACAGTAACGAAGCACCATCCGTATCACTCCTTCTCTACTCTCCGCAACAACCGGCACTCTTACCAACGCGCTCATGCGCTGACTCAATCCTTTTTTCTTTTTTCCTTTTTTCACTCCTTCAAGCTGCTTGGCCGCATCTCTTTCTACGCAACATGGCTACAGTTTGCCCAGTTTCTCCTGCACCAGAGAGTAATTATAACCTTCCGAGGCAGGCAACCTCTCCACCTCCCTCTCCATCCGTTTCCCCACCTAGTCTTCTTCAGTCATCGTCTTCTTCCACAGCCGATCCTCCCACCAATACACCTCGGCCTTCTCCTCACACCCCACCACCACGCGGGCGGTCACGGTACCCTTCCGGTCTTGCTCATGGTGGGCCGCGGGTTCCTCTGCATCGTCGTGGGACTTCAAAGACGTATGAACGCCTTGAAGACCTTCTTCAAGAAGCGGGGTATAAAGAGACACGTGTTTTTACCCCTGAGACTGAGCGGCTTCGAGAACGCGAGCTCGGGCAGGGAGAAAGACGGCAGATGGATGGCCGCGTAAGGAGCGGCATGGATACGGTGGTGGGATATTTGGCAGGGCTCGTGTTGGGACAGTCCGACAATCAGCGCGCAGATGCGAAAGACTCACAAA